ATTAAACAAGAATGAATTAGTCGGTGTTTAAAAAGTTACCGTTATATGAATATCATAAAATTATAAAAACAAAATATTATTTGAAAATTTAAATAGACCGAATTTTATTAATGCATAATCGTATTTTTGTATTATAGTAATTATTGTTTAAGGTTTTCATGTATCTAGTGAATTTCTTAAATTTATTGTTATTGTGGGGAGAAGAAATCTAACGCTGTGTAGAACAATGTACATAATGTAAAAACCAAAGCCAATAATTACCCATCTATAGCCCTTCCTTGTCATTTTGTTTGTTCAGATGGTGCCTACGGTTCCTCGTATGAAGTAACGTCCAACTCTGTGTCTGACCTAAATAGATCGTTCCAATTTGTAAGTGAGATTATTGATTCTAAAGTACTCGAAACATTCCTGATGTAAATTTATATATCACATGATTAAAAATAAAACATAGACGATAGATATATTAATAAAGATGGCATTTAATAGTTATAGTCATCATGTACCTACATTACTAAACTATTGAAAATATTGTTTTTGTGATGTGATTAAAAAATAGAGAAATTAGAGAAATTATTTAAAATATTGCAGTTATAAATTATTCTTACGACAAGTCAGTATATATAGTGTATAAAATAAGCAAAGCGAATAACTACTCATCATGTGCGCCTGTTTCTTCTGTAGCTTGTGTACAAATGATTGAACAGGCAAATCAGGTGGACTTTCAGGACTTTGACTTTGGCGTTCTGCGTTTGTAATGTAACCCGTGGAACTTGAAGTGCTTGGCCTGTATTAAAACGTATTTAAAATATTACAATTGTACGCATTATTTGATGCTATTTTGTACTTATTAATGTGATCCGTAATGGAGCGAAGTTATGAGACTTATGAGAGTGAGGGAGGGAAGAAGAAAAATTGAGAAAAAGATACAATTAATGTTTGACTAAACTAATGTTGTGATTTTTGTACGTATACAGAGTGTCCCATTTTAATCTATCATCCCTTTTATCAAAGTTAAGCCGAATTAGAAATATATTCAGACAGAAGTTATTTGATGTTAATCGGGTCTGATCATGACCTTTATTTTACCTTAGGTCAAAGGCAGAACATTATTTCAAGGTAAACTTAATTTTTTAAAATAAAGACTCATTTTTTCTGCATATTCTTGCAGCTGATGTCGGAACGCTTTCTGAACATTATAATAAATTTTTCTTCGTGAAGACTTTCCTGAAGTATATTAAATTTGTTATAAATTTTTTTAAAAATGTTTTGGAGATACCGATCTAAGCAAAAGTCATGGAAATATTAAAAACACCGATATTAACCCTTCAGATATCCAAAGACAAAAAAATGTATATAAATATAAATAGTTACAGCAAGTCTAACAGAATGTAAAAGACATAGATTCAGTAACTGTAAATAACTTACTACTTTTTTTTTCTTAAAAAGAATCTCGGCAAAAAAATTTTTAAGAGTAAATTTGCTCTGAATTCAACTTAATAAAGTGAAATCTGTGAAAAATTATAGAATTCCGTACCGTACGCGCCGAAAGTCCGATCACGAGCAATAATTTTACTGTTTTTTTTTGTTTTTAACGTTTTTTTTACACTTTTCTATGTAACGTTACAAGCGTTATTTTATACGTAGAATAATGATAGAAATCGAATAATATAATATCTACTTACTCATTTTGATTATTGGAGATCTGGATTATCGGACTCTGCATTATTGTGTTCTGGTTTCTTCTTAAAGGACATCTATTTTTATGTCGGTGTAAATGCCCACAGTTCGATAAATAAGAAAGTACTTCCCCGCATGTCCTACATGTTGCCTTACATTCATTTGAGCCCGTGTAATATTGTTGTAGCTCTTCAGATAGTTCACTATGCCATTTATCAGGATATTTTCCATGTACATTACCTAAGTGTGTCCTTAATTTTGTTTTGAAGTTATTTTCTCGACGTGCCTTAATTTCTTTACCACATTCCATGCATTTTGCCCAACAAATAAAGGGTTTAGGTCGATGGAAATAATTCCGGATCCATTGCCACAAGTCGCTGTCTTTTGGCAATTCCATTATTACCTTGCTGTTTGTAACTAACCTACTTACAGAATGTCTGATACTAAACGTGTGGTTTACAGAAATCGCCTTAATTGTCGTGTGCAAAACTTCTTACAAAGGTCAAAGAGAGGGATATATATGGTTTATTTATCGGGTTGTATGTCAATACACGAGACGAGTTAGGCTGAAGTCACATAGCATGTATTTTCCGCGTAACCAATTAGAAGCGTTTCGCATTTTCGGTTACGCATATGGAAGAGATTACTTTACAAAATTTCAAGAAAGACTGTGTCAATCTAAAAATCCTATGGGACTCAATAAACTTAAACAGTTAAATAAGAAACAATTAAATATGTTATTGTACAACCATTTATGAATAAAAGATGTGAATAATTTTAAGAATTTTAAAAAGATAGAATTATTAATATGTTTAGAATTAAAAAAAATTAGAATCTAATTACGATAAAAATAACAATACAAACATATAAGAATCTTCCTGTATTTAAACGATTTTTATTTTAATATCGATTAAATTGACTTAAGAGGATTTGTTAGTTTGTTGCTAATAATTTCTATAATTCCCAATGCTTATCTAGAATATTTGTATATTTTGTATAGATATATTTTTTTATCCAAGATGGATGGTTCTTTTGTATTTAAAATTCTTCACGATGCCGGAAGCTACCTATATTTTCGATAAAGGTTTTCAGTGTTCTAGTAAAAGATAAAAACCGCTTTCCTACTGTTGCGTACAACCGCGCGTCTATCTGAAAAAACTGCTCTCTCAAGCCGGTCGGTCACCCATCCGAGTATACCGCGCCTACTTTGCTTGACTTTGATGATCGAATGGACAAGTGACGATCCTCGACTGACTCTGACGCTTCCTTCTTACCTGTACTTATGGCACGCCGTTTTACTTTTTAATGGCATAATAAATATTCCATTCAATATAAAAGATCAAAAAATAATAGTCTTAAGAAAAATCACAATAAATTAAAATTATGTCAAGACATAAAAATTCGTAATTATTTTTACGTGTCGATATAATTTTAATTCAACTAATTTTTATGATGTCACGACATAATTTTAATTCATCGAATTAAAATTTGATATACCTAATAAAAATTGCATGGCACACCGTTTTACTTTTCAATAGCATAAATAATAATCTATACAATATAAAGGTTTCAAAAAATAATTGTCTTGAGAAAAATAGCGATTCTTACTAATGAATTAAATTTATGTCAAACATAATAAAAATTGGATAAATTAAAATTATGTCGGGACATAATAAAAATTCGGAATTATTTTTATGTCCTAACATAATTTTAATTTCACGAATTAAAATTATGTCTGGACATCATAAAATATAGATGAATTAAAATTATGTCGAGACATCATAAAAATTGTATGGAACGCCGTTTTACTTTTTAATAGCGTAAATAATATTCTACATAATATAAAAGTTTCAAAAAATAATTGTCTTGAAAAAAATAGCTATTCTTACTAATGATTTTAAATTATGTCGAACATAATAAAAATTGGATGAATTAAAATTATGTCCGGGACATAAAAATAATTCCGAATTTTTATTATGTTCCGACATCATAGTAATTCATCATAACTCATCGAGACATCATAAAAATTGAGATCATAAAAATTGAGACATCATAAAAATTTAGACATCATAAAAATTGAATGAATCAAATTTATGTCGAGACATCATAAAAATTGAATGAATTAAAATTATGTCGAGATATAATAAAAATTGAAACATAAAAATTGAATGAATTAAAATTATGTCAAGACATCATAAAAATTAAATGAATTAAAATTATGTCGACACCATAAAAATTCGGAATTATTTTTATGCAACACGTGCATGGAAAGTGCCCCATTACGCATACGCTACACGTGCGTGATAGACCACTTTCCAGGCACTTACAACATAAAATAAGGAGTGTAAGTCGTGTGTAAAGATGAAAATTCCCGGGTGCGGAGTTTACGCACGAGCCGAAGGCGGGAATTTTCATCTTACGACACTTGTTACACAAATAACTATTACGTATCGACATAATTTTAATTCATTCAATTTTTATGTCGACATAATTTTAATTCATCAAATTAAAATTATGTCAAGCATAATAAAAATTGGATGTATTAAAATTATGTCCGGACGTGATAAAAATTCGAAATTAAATTATATTTTATATATGTCCAGACATAATTTTAATTCGTGAAATTAAAATTATGTCAGGACATAAAAATAATTCCGAATTTTTATTATGTCCTGACATAATTTTAATTTATCCAATTTTTATTATGTTTGACATAAATTTAATTCATTAGTAAAAATAGCTATTTTTCTCAAGACAATTATTTTTTGAAACTTTTATATTAAGTAGAATATCATTTATGCTATTAAAAAGTAAAACGGCGTTCCATATGTACTTGTCTACAACATATCTTTAAAGTGTTAAAAAATCTTATGGGTCCTAGGACGTGGAAATTTTTTAAGTGAAACTTCTTTAGGAACGGTAGTGAGTTCGATTCGCGACACGAAAAAGTGTAACGGAAGTTTTCCCAAAATCTGCTTATATAATACATAATAAAAGCATCATATTCAAGAAGTAAATAATAGAATAATGCTAATAAAGTTTAAAGATCACGACTGCGCAATAACGAGTGCGAAAACCGAGAATTCTGAAAATTCATTTGACGTCTAAAACACACGCCATTTTAAGTAATTCTATTAATTTTATCATATTTAATTTATAACAAGTATTTCTCAGTCCCAAAAATAGTCCCTTCTATTTATCCATAAAAATCAGGACATATTATTTTATTTATGAGGCTTGTACTAAATAAAAACGTGCTTTGCTATATACCACACACGTGTGTGCTCGTTTTCTCTTGCGCGGTCGTAGCTTCTTCGTTCCTCCACATTTCGTCTAGTATTTATTGGTATACAGGTATGTACATATCTCGCCGGCGCGGGATTTTCCCGCGAGAGCTCCTCCGTTATATTTTGTACAAAGTCCGTGTAAAAATACAGCAGCCCCATCTTATATCAATTATAAGTTTATGTGATACGCGATAAGAGTTAAAATAATAACAGTCTCGCCTCTCGGACGTATCAAATATTCCGAATAGGTTCGGATCGAGACCACTTGTGCCCTCGACTTTGTTCGGATCCGAGTGTTGTGTGTTGTGTCATTTGGCATGCGGGGGGACACGTGCGATCCCACCACCCCGCCACTAATCATTAAATGGAACAAGAAGCACTCGAGCTTAACGGGAATGACTACGGCATTTAACTGTAGGTACGAGCAATCAATTTGTTGAGTAGGCGCCTAGTCGGCTCAGCCCTATCGTCACTCGCGGATCAAAAATAGTGTGTTCAGCTACGACTACTGAACTAAGATGCTTTCTCAGATCATACGACGAGCACACATACATACGGGAAAGTTTTATACACTGGTACGGCAACACCAGCAATTTTCCCTGCTAGATAATTCGCACGACAGTCTTCGAGATCAGCTACTATCCTTTTACAAAAGTAAATCAATCTTCCCGCGTAAAATAAACGGAGTTAGAAGGAATCTAATTTCCATTGGAAACTTTTTAACTTTGTTATTCTGTTCTTATTCACTTAATTTGAATAGAAATCAAAATTCCTTTTAACGCCAATTATGTTATCTCCTTAAAGTACATGTATGTTTCGTGAAAAGTTTTTGATTCTCTTACTGGTTTTTTTCCTTAACAGTACAACTATAATTATTTTTTTCTAATTTAGTACTAAGAATAAAGTACAGTGGTTAATATCGTGCGTAGTTCAATTTGTTAAATAAAGAGTTGCGTTTAAGTTTCTATGCTAAAACGTGCATTAATGAAAAAATACGGATGTTGTTATGTGATATTTAAAACAGATTGTTATCTATTTTCCTTTCTAAACTCATTCACGTTTCTCAGTGAACGTTTCGCTTTGATTTCGCTATTAATTGATTATTTTCTCGATTGCTAAATGTCCGTCGACATCTCTAAATGGCACAAAATTCTTCTCGTATGTATATGTTCTCCATCGCGCTCGCCGAATTCTTAGGATCGTTAGAAAACTGTTAATTGCGTAACAATACGCACTTACGAATTTGATTCACTTCGCCGCGACTAAGTCTCTCGGTAGACAGACTACACAAGGATAACAGCTACGTTTTATCATCTACACATTACAGAATCCGAATATCTGAATATTTCTGCCGTCTACTTGCTGATTCTACGATCAAGCTACACGCTTTCTTGTTTTCGCCCTCTTTTCGTTCTTTGCCTCCTTTTTTTTAAATTATAACGCAAATTTTACGACCAAAGCGGAATACGTACTACTTACTTGTACGACATATATAAGTATGTATCACAATATATGTGTATATATATATGTATATGTATAGATGCATATAGACACAACGGGGTACGAACGAAGTTAACGAGTGTTCGGATTAATACGGATTAAACGCTCGCCGCGCTCGCACGCGAATTCGTAGCGATTTCTGCGCAGCGACTAGGCACAACAAAGTGAATCGCGCGACATGGCTTATAATCGGTTAAACTGGTTAAAGATTCGGGAATTGAACTGAGATTTCAGTGGATTTAAATGCTGCAGATGCTATATTTCTTCATCCTTTCTTATTCTCTTCTGTTTTCAATGTGTAAAACGTATTGATTTTTCAAATATCTCAAATAACTTATAAATTAAAAATTAACTTCTTACTCAAAGTTAAGAATTACGTTAAGATAAATTCCCCTTTTATAGAACGCGTCCAATTTTATAAAATAAATCCCATTAAATTAAATTTTATTCAATCCACGATATAGCATCGAGATTTTTTAACTCATCGAAATGACATCGATTTCAATTCCCGATTAATTTAAGACAGGATATAACACAGCTCGGTCTTAAAAGTAAAAGCACGCTTCCTTAAAATTTAAGCAATTCTGTCTAAGGGTTCATGTAAAAGTAACATCACATCTTCTTATGAATTAAGTACATTTACGGGAGCGTGTGTATGTATGTATATACACACATACACACATACGCGCGCACAAGCGGATCTTTCTGGCGAATTGTTGAATTATGAACACCTGCTTCGCAGTTGTAGAACTAATTATGGACGTACAAAATACGGTCGGCCACGTATAGTTACCGCATTAGACAAAGCACAATTTTTGCGAAGTCTTAGCTTACCTATATACGTAATAATTATAAATATTCTTATGAGCTTTGGAAGTTAAAATATCGCTCACTTAACAAATTAGGCTTCAACTTTTTACTTAACAAATGCGTATCAATAGAATATAGCGCTAAGTTTTAATAATTGATTGACACATTCTTTGAAAAGATAAAAAACGAAATAAAATTAATTAGCGATAAGCTTTCTTTAATTCAAAATAGTACATGGTTCGGAGATAAAACTTTCACTCGCCGGAGAAGTTAATTCATTTAACTTCGAACAGTGTATATTTTAAATTAAATACGACTTGCTTACGTTAAATTATACAAGTATACGCAGCCATATTAATAATTTTAGTCAAATAGCTTCAATCAAATTAAAAGAAACCTATCAGACCCTGTTTATCATTTAGTAATTTATACGTAAAATGTAGCTAGTTATTTTTACGTTATCTCTATCTCTCTCGTTCTCCCGCTGAATAATACTTCTTGTTAAGGAATGATACAAAAATGAATGCCGCCAACGAGCGTATTAATATTATTAATGTTATTATCCTTGAGTATCGAGTCCGTATCGATCCGACCTTGTTACTTTATTATACAAAGCGACTCCTCATAGTCTCGACACGTAGAGCCGGTGGTATGAGAAGTCGGCGATCGTAAACGGATCTTAAAGAGGATGCATTAACCGTACTCATACGTGTTGGCTAATAAGAGCTAGTTTAGTTGATTTCATAACGATTAACCGAGCCGGCTTATCGCGGTTTGTCGTCATGGGTGAAATCATGGGCAGTTCAGGGGGATCACGGCGACACACCCGAGGGGAATGCACATGAAGCTGACTCGTGAAACGCGAACACGCAATACTCTGTATCGAGATATGCTTTTAGCTCGAGTGCACGTGCCGCGAGCGCAAGGAACTTAAACTCGGCAAATACATTCGACAATGCGTTGCAAAAGAACATCAATTAAGCAGAATCGATAGAAGTCCATTTTGTAAATGTATGAATTTTAAAACGCTTGTAATACGAAGCAAATGGTAACCGTATCTCCTCAATTTAATTTTGAAATTAAAAATGTTTTCTTCTACTTTAAGTATTGTACAGTAAATTTGATTATATGGATATTTTTCTGCAGAAATTTCTTTGACAAAAGAAATTTAATTATAAAAGAACAATTATCTATCGATTCTAATTAATCAATTATCTTTTGCAGAGCGAACAGGAATGTCTGAGCGATAAAACATATGTACAAATAGAAGTTACATTCAGAAATGCGGTCAGACATGTAAGAGGCATAAGTATACCAAATGATAGCACCAGATATTGGATTTCAACATTTGAAAATCGAGTATGAAATAGGAGAAACAGCACGTCTCCACCGTTAACAATCACGAGCAACGAAAATCGCCAAAAGTCGGCGTAATGGGTGTCACTGAAGATATTTTGTATAGTCTTGAAAATATAAGCAATATCCGTTGTCGGCTCGTCCCGTGATTCTCACGGATGTACTGAAGATGCAAAGTATATCCGATAAGAAGCTTCACGAGATGCGATTAGAAATTGTCGACAATAGGAACCACGAGTGAATAATAACGTTATTTTAACGTTACAGGCAGATCGGGCGGCGAAGAAACAAGAGACCCTCTCGACGATCTGTTCGGAACTTGCCTGACATTCTACGGTTTCTTCCATCAATGTCAGATCAGCTCTGATCGTGGTACATTAAGTGTTGTTCCTCTGCGTCGATACCATAGCCCTAGCTAGTACGTTACATTATAGCAATAGCTATAATATAGAGTTACGTGTTAATTATATCATAGCTAAAGATATAATGTCGCAATTTTATAATGTATTTTAACTATATTATAGCTAGGGCTATAATATAAAGTATATAATAGCTATGTTACAGCTAGGGTTAAAATATAGAGTATCTTATAGCCGTATCATAGCAACGACCGTAATGTAGTGTCTGTTACGACTACATTATAACTAGGGCTATAATCTCAAAAGGAGCGACTAATAAAAGTTAGTCAATCAAGGCTGCCGACGCAATTTTGTCATCCTCTTACGACCGATATATCGCCATTTAAATGAAAACTACGCCATTTCTCAGACGTGATTTTCCCTAAGCGTCAGAAAAGAGGGTACAGAGTAACAGCACAGGCACAGTGTAAAGAGACTTTAAGATAAAGCATTACTTTCGACGTCCCAAAATACCGCGTTTGCATTTTGAGATTAATGTTGCGCACTGATCCCTGAAAATTTAAAGCTACCATCGAAAACGAATTGTAATCTGCATTCATAGCATAGTTCCGGGAAATATTAGACGAGTAGATCAATATTTATATATTTGCGGCGCTTACACCAGTCGCACTTTAAACGATGGATTTGGCCCCTTTCTTTGGAAGAAGAAAACTGGCTTGATCGTTGAAAAACTAGCGCCGACACATTTTATACGTTCGTCAGCGCAAATTCCGTTCATCGCAATCGCGCGTGAGAAACGTTCATCGCCGATCACAGCGCGAACGTTCGCAAACGTATAATCTGTCGCCGCGCTATTGCTCCACTCTAGAGATGAGGAAAGGAAGAATGACGAAAATCAATGTCACGTCTTTGCGACGTGTGCTTATAGAGCGAACAGTTGAAAGAAAAACAAACCAAGATTGTTCGATAAATCGGGCAACTAAACGAATCTTCCCTTCCACGTTCTCGGACGGGATTTTTCCACGCACGAGCTAGCTATTCAACGCGAAACTATCTATCATCCCGCGCATCCTAAAGTATTATTTATTCTCGCGCTCGGATACAAGGGATGAAATTATGCAAGACCTACTTAGTCGCGTAGCGATTCGAAATAAACTCAAACAATATCGAAATCCATGGTCACGTGTCCGAGAAGAGAAACTCGCTCTCGGATAGCAGTACTTCCAGATCGGAGGGTACGGTGTGCAAGTCGGAGTTGGCCGGTTCCGGCAGATCACCGCCGCTGTTTCCGATGCCGGTAGGAGCGATTTGTCGTGCTCTGCCTATCCTAACTCGATCTTTCCTCTTGACCGTTCGCAGAAGCACCCCGGTCCTCGGCAGTTTCGTCGTTCTGCTATTCGTATGATTTACAGCTGTGGCCGGTGCCTGCGCTACTTTATCGGACTTGCGTAGCTTTACGCTGAACCGGAACGGCGGCTTGTACACCACCTGAAGCCTCGCACGTTCCTTCCTGGCGAGGGAATTCGACGAGTTCTTCATCTCCGCACCAGCCCTTCCAGTTTCCGCACCAGGACGTCGAGTGGCTGTCAACGCCTGTTGCCTCGACACCGGCACTCTGGACCCCACTGCTCCTCCGCTAACCGTCAGACCCACCGGGGTCGACTTGCTTTTCGGCAAACCATTGACGTTGGTCCGTGCACCGATTTCTGGTCGGCATTGCGAAGATGCCAATAACCAAGAGCGCACCTTGCTTTTAGGATCAGCGTTTGTTTCTGGTTCCTTATCCGTTTGCATTGCCGAATAGTCGATCACCTCCTTTCTATGTGTCTTCTTACGCTTCCTCTTGTCATTATCGCCGCCGCTGCCGCCGGCCGGATTATTGCTGGTACTTTGTCCTTTATCTCTAGCCGATGTAATCTTCTTCCGTTTGTTCTCCTGCGCTGCAGCAGCCGCAACTTCGGCCGGTCTTTTTCGCGCAAAATCGTCCACCTGTCCGGTAGATGATCTCTTCGTCTGTTGGTTTTGCTGTTTCTTCTTGGCGTCCTTTAAATGCAAACAAAAAACTTAAGAATTTAAATTTCGAGATACAAATATTAAATTAATATATTAATATAATCAAATTATTATATTAATACATCGATAATTAAAATAAACAAGTCTATTTTCTAATTCTCTTATTTAAATTAATTTTACCTTAGACTTGTCCGCGTGTCCACCATCTTTATGTTTGCGATGACACCTCTTTTCTCTGACCTTCTTACTAAGAGGAAGTTTGGCACGTGCCGGTGGATGCACCGTCACTCCTTCCGTACCTTCCGGTGGAAGCCGTACCGTTTCCGTCGTAGAACTGTGGATTATCGTGACGGACTTTAGCTTCAGGTCCGGTCGTTTGCCCAGTAATCTCATGCTGGCCACCTAAAAGAAAAGAAAGAAATCTTACGTGCTTGTAAATAAATTTATATTTTATTTATTTTTTCATTGACAAGAATTGGCAGAAATACAAAAAAATAACATACTATATCATATATACTATATATATATATATATATATATATATATATATATGTACATTTCTTTACATATTTATTAGGCGATATTTTATTAATAAAAAATAATTTACAATATGTAATTACATAATGTAATTTACAATAGAAATTCAAATCACTACTTTATTCAAAGCTTTAATTAAAGTTTATGTTATCTAGAATACGGCAGCCACAAGAATTTTTGCTTCTACGTGATACTTTAATCAGTAATCTAATTAAATGTACGCACCGCAGGGGGAAAGGTACTCGGAAAGGTACAACAATGCAATAGCAAATAATTTTTGTAAAAAGCAATTAATCTCCAATTATTTTACAACAAATATTATTAGATTTCGATAGCCTACTATGCATGTGTCCCTACACTTACTCTCAGCATTGTATTTATCTCTTTTCCTTAGTCGTTTCTGAACATTTTTAACATATATAATTATATGAAATTATTGTTTTTTGCGCTTATTTTAACAAAAATATATTTGTTCTATAGACTTGTTTAATGCAACAATCTCATCAAACTAGTTATTAATTAAAAATAATAAATTAAGATAATAAACAATAGAAAAATTAATTAAATTTTTATTTTTAAAATATAATCAAGTACATGAATTTAAGAGAAAATGTAGGTGATGTTTTTATACATACCAGCAACGATATCGCTATTAAAACTATCAGAGCGGCTGCATACCAATGTTCAGCGACCCACCGTCTGAAAGTAGCAAGGCTCTCGTCGGATAATAAGAGCTTCCTTAAAGTTGCTAATGGACCGCTTGGATCAACCTGAATAAAATATTTTAATTAACGCCGTTACCTACTATCTTCCACTATCTTCTGTGACCAAGTTCCATTTACCTCACGACATTTTTGAAAGACATCACAGTAGCCATTATAATCGTTACACGGAGTTCCTGGTTTCGAGAACATGTCGGGAATATCATATGGCGGGGAGTTCCAGTCGAAAGACGATCTGCGAAGAAAAGTAATTAAATTTAACAAATTTTTTATGCAAATTGATCGACGAAATAATATTTAATACGAGATAAACATACAGGCACGGTTGATTTTCCCCGGGAAGTCGACAACATAACTCGCAAGCCTTCGTCGGCGGATCGCTCGGGCCTGGTATGCATTGGCAAGATTCCAATCCGTATGCCAAGCAAATGCTGCCAGTGCACTCCTGTGAAACACAAGTTTCGCGCACGTGAGACAGATCATATTTATTCATTTAATAAGAGCACGTGTACGGTTTTTAATAGGACTGATATCTACCCCCATGAAGCAAACCAGTTCACGATTACAGATGGTCTTATTAGGCTTGTTAATGGACGGCGGACAATACGGAGAATCACCGTGACAGAAGCTCGCATCGCGGCAGCCGTTGTCATCTCTGCACTTCTCTCCGAAACGGTACTCACATTCGCCAGTACAGCACGGACCCTGAAAAGGAAAGCAAACAGAGCCGTCAAAATTACGTCGTGTTATACGCACGATGCGCCGCGTAATTACGTTATGCATATCTGTGAGTAAATTGCCTAAAGTAAATTTAATAAGATATTGCTTAAATTAATTAATATTTTCGACAAAATAAACGAACATCGAGCGATAAATGTGCATCAGCGAATCTTAATATCTTTTGCATGAAATACTGTATGCAAGTTATTAAACATTATTTATTCATTGCGTTAAATGCGCCTAATCGTGCAACAGAAATGTTATCAAATATTAAAAATATAATGGCTTCATAAAAAATAGATTAAAATGTAGCACATTTTAAAGATAGTACTTTTATAATATACGTATTCTGCTATTAGAATATTTAAACAACTAAATAAACGTTTAAATACATAGCTGGATAAACAGACATTTAAAAAATTTGGACGTTTGAACGCTTAACATTTAATATTCAAGATTGAAAAAGCACAAGCGCGGCTACAAGGTCCGGGTTAAATTTTGAGCAAGAAAGTCGTCCTAAAATTCCCCCGACAATACAGTCCAACTCGCATTTTTTACAAGCGTCATACATACTTGACTAGGACTGCACTTCGAGCCTGGTGTGAGCGTGCACGGGGTCTCCGTGGGCGGCGGATAACGGCGCTGGGGAAAGCAGCACGAGTCTCTGCAATCTTCTTCCCAGCCGCAGTCGCACTGCTCGCCCTCCTCCACCACGCCGTTACCGCACAGCGATACTTGCGGTTCTACAATAAACAATGCACAGTACCGTCAGGGTTAGACCAAACGGGAATAGAATAATTGGACGAGAAGATGGGAGCTGGTGCGATCAATTTCGTTTCGTTGCGACGTCGCGATATATCGCGTTCGCCGTTGCTCCCACGGCATAAAACTCACCGGTGAAGCATCCCTTTGGCGAACGTGCCTTGCTGTTGAGCACAGGATTTATGGCGTTCAGGCTGCACGGGCTGAAGCGGTTGTTGTTGCGTTTGTCGCCGCTGGTAGCACGGGCGAACATTATGAAGTTGCCGTCCTCGCCGCCCGGTGTACATTGTTCCGGATCGTGCTGGTCGCGAAAGAACAATGAGATGTATGACGTGAGCGTCATTCGTTTATTGACTGGACAACATTGTATAAAAAGGCCGCGGAATATAGAACGCGCCGTTTTGAACGCGACTAACGGAAGTATGTACGTACCGGTGAGCCAAAGTTGTGGCCGATCTCGTGAGCCAAAGTAACGTGAGAGACCGCAGGCGGTACGTGCTTCCCGTAATTTAATAGGGTCACTATACCGGTGTTCAGTGATTTCATGCTGCCGCGGTAATGCTGCAACGTTATTTCGACAATTATTTTTTATTTATATTTTTTTTCAACTTAAGTTTCATATTCGCGACGATTTCCAGTTCAACGGTTGCGAAAAGAAATCACATAAAAAATAAATTTTTTTGTCGGAGTGGATCAGCTGATCGCCATAAATAGGATCGTGCTTCAAATGTAACATCGATCAGTACACATAAGGATAGATAAATTATTGTAGATTTTTTTAAAGTCTAAAATTTAATACATTTAAGTTATAATTTAATATATTTTAGTGTAATTCTCATTAAATTTTAGTTACTTCCATACTATTCGTAAATTTATAAAAAATATATATATATATAATCGACATTATTTTACAAAAGTCTATTAATACTTTTCACCCACGCATACCCCGTTCTTTTCACACACGCCGCCGGCATTCTTGAGATCGCCTGTCCATGCCAAACCCAGAGTTCCCATCTCGAAATCCCGATACGTGAACATATAAGCCAGACAGAATGCGTCATAATCCTCCTCTATAACAAGGCAAACATCAACGTATTATCAGTTTAGTCCTCATTCGCATATTGACGTATTGACATTACGCCATATTACGGCTTATTAACAAAGAGCGACAACGAGGTCCTTACTCCTTACCTGAAAAGAGCTCTAAATATTTCTCCACCCCGTAATTGCCTGGGAAACGATAATTAGAATCTCTCAACGCTTCCTCGCTGTGCACTTTGATGCGTTTGATCATGAAGCTGATGTTATCCGACCGCCCGTCTTGATTGAAATCTGAAAGCAGACGTGACGCTGTTCAAAACGCTAGTTGTTTCTTAAATTGCATATTTATCGGAACGAAATAATTCACTTAAACTCGTACATTATTCCAGTTCTGTTTCTTGCACCTAACGTTGACAACTCCCATGTGATTACCGTTCTCTGGTCCAAGCAGAGTAATTCGCGTGTAATATGGAACTCACACAATGTGTGTTATACATAATGGAACACAGTACGGTAATGAAAATACCATATGTACGAATAAACAGACTGGTGTACGTTTTACAACGATATAGAGTAACAAATCATTTATCAAATACTTTAAACATTTCACACTTTTCGCAAAAAGTATCAAAAACATATCTCGTGTTAATTTTCAAATTATACACGTACAGCTTTAAAAAATGTGTTATATGCTATTTGTTTAACATTAAAAAAATTAATTTTTTCGTTATAAGAAAAAAGATTACAAGAATCAATATTTTTTTAGAATTACATTTTCCATCTAGATATAAGATTTGTCATAGTTTATATTTTACAAAAGTGTTTCTCAAATTAAATTGAATATTACCGTAGAATTTGAGTAACATTAAACTGGGTTATTCACATGAGTAATATTCAAAAACTCTGTTTTGCTCTATGTCCTCTAATTATTTACTAATTATTTGCTTTTTCGCTCCGGTCTTTGCAATTTCCCGTTTCGTTTATAATTCCATCGCTTTTATCACATTATTATTTATGTCAAAATTGTAAACGCGAAAAACAAAAAATTTGCATGCATGACGCGTACGCTGTGTACAAAGAAAATTTATTATTTTTATCGTATTTTCCATATAAATATCACGCTTAATTGTGCTTAATATTAAAACATAAATTGATATAAATTTAAATATCAACGAATAAAAATCGAACGAATGATTTTTCATTAATTCTTTTCTTTTTTATGAATTCCTTCTCGTATTATCATCAACCGCGGCAGAAAGGGTAAAATTCCAGAAAATTTTCATAATTCCCGTAAAGTTCCTCGGCTTTCCTCGAAAAGTCTCTGAATGTCTTCGCTTTTTTTTCTCATTTTACTTCGATATTCCCTGGTCATTTTAAATTAGATTCTCCCGACGTTTTTTCGCGTTCCTCAAGTAGTTTTCAATTTCCTCGACTTTTTTCTCCCCCTCGGCCTTTGCCATCGTCCGTTTTCCCGACCCGCCGCGAAAACTGTTAGGGTAGATCATCTTTCACCGCGCGCGCGCGCACGCGAGGAAGAACACCCACCTGTGTATTTGTAGATGGAGTTGACTTTCTGCACGTGCCTCGTCATCACCTCGATACAGGCTTCCTCCGTGCCGTATCGCGCGAAAAACTGATGGTCCGCTTGCAAGTAGAGCATGCAGGTAGTTTTCCGGGGATCTACGGTCGCGCGCTTGTGCAGATGCCTCGCGATCCGATCTTTGCCGCTCGCGCTGCGGACGGGGACGAGAAATAAGGTCGCTTTTATTGCGCGATGAAAAACGCTCTCCGCACTCTCCTCTCGCAACCTCGAGCACCTAGTTCCTCCGAATTCTATTTCAACTTTCGCGACGCTTGTTGTCGTTTGTCGACACACACGTTGCCAGTACTTCGCTAACAATTGACACGTGAATTGACCCAGAAGACAAAATCAACAAACATTTCACGTTAGAGTTGAAACCGTCGTCGCTTCCGCATTGTTTATTGTTCCTTCCTTCATCAAATCAGTCATTTAAAAAAAGAAACGTACGTACATATCACAACAAATTGCATTTTGAGAAAAATAGAGTCTACAATAAATGTTTCTTTACATTACATTTGCTATATGTCTTTTTCCTCCTATTATTTTTTTTAATTTTTTTGTTCTTCGTGCTCTTTAAATAGATCTTTGAAGATAAAACATTTTACACCGGTACGATCTAGTCCAAACTTTCTCACGCTTTGAAAAATAAGTTCTGTGACGTACGATAAAATGGATTTATTTGCGTGCGTTAAGCAGGAAAAAGGTTCGGGCTTTTTCTCACTAGGAATGCAAAATACTCACGCGTCCGTGTACTCGACGTCATTACTCGTTTCCAACGTTAACACCCTCGCATTGTTTTCCCTTGAGTAGAGAGCAACGTGCTCGCCGAGCAGGGGCTCGTAGAATGCCTGAGAATTGTTGTACCTATATCTGGAGGAACAGACATCGCGAAGTTTAAATTTACATTTAAAGTCCGCCATATGAAGACTGACATGAAACGCATAATATATGATAATCCCGGCCGGCGGGAGTTTCCTTTACACGTGTCTAAATTACAGCGCGTTTGCTAACAGTATGTGCTCTTTTATCATTTTCTTCGTCCGCGAATGTACTTTCATAAAGTAGAAAATATACGAGTAAATATAAGTGCTTGGGAGAATGTCTTAATAAGGGCGCAGCCATTACGTCGCTTATATATTACTTGAATTAATCAAAAAATATATATCAAATTAAAATATTATATAAAGTCTTTAAACACACGAGAAATCATCTTAACACAATCGTATCAAAACCAACCATCTAATATTTAAAAAAATTCTATGCAAAATAAGCTATAAATATATGTAATTCTAGAAGACAACTTTAAATTAAATATGAATGCACGCCTGTCGACAAAAAAAGATTATACACATATCATCATAATTCGAGTCTTAAATATATTTTATAAACTAAGAAAGCTTCGCGAACACTATTTTGACGTCATCGTCAAACTGAAAACGATCGACCTGGATTTGGTCAAAAATACGGGAAGCAGAAAAAAAATAATTAAACTCAAAACTCGTTATCATGATCTGAGGGATGGTTTACATCCTCATCTACATCGACGATCGTCGCTTAGCGATTCGAGAGAAATAGAACTCACCTATCGAAGGAATCACGAAGAGACCCCTTTTGGTGCAGCTGATGACTGGCACAGGGTAATGGATGTGGCGGGGTGGTGACGTCGGAGGTGCGATAAGCTATGCTGTGATAGGGCGGCGACGTGTCTTCATTTTTATTCAAATACCTGCTCGTCGGCTCGATATAGTACTCCTCGAATCTGGTCACGACACTGCCGTCGAAGAGACCGTCCTGCGTAACGACGCCCTGCACCACGGCGCTCTCGTCATCTGTGAAGAGAACAGGACACGATGCCGGTTAATAAAGAATCAGCAATTGAATTTGTAGAGAAAAAGGGATCATTTACATCATATAGATTCAATCAACATATAACTGACAATTTTTATCACCTTTCTCCATTATCAAATATTTAAACTCGTGCGGGTAATAATTAATATGCAATATATGCATGTATATATATTATATACATACAGTCTGCATACAAATATATAATATTGTATAAGATAATATAATCTATACACGTATTTTATAATTTTTATAAATATTAACAATTAAATGCTTTCACGTTTTCCGGCTAAAACTTGACCCTCCATTTAATTTATTATTTGTTTTACACAATTTCACAAAATTTGTAAACTATTACAAATTTTCTTTTTAACATAATAAATATTACAATTTATCTTAATAAATATTTCAGTTTATTATACCATAAATAAACAATCATATCAATTCTTTTTCATGTTATACTCATACGAGAAATAGATTTTTCATAAATTCGAGATACGTACATGTTAACAGTATTTTTCCACGACAATCTGCCGTATTTTAATAACGCTCGCAAGAATTGAGATTACTAAACCCATTATTAATAGTTTCCGCGGAGATGGATTCGCGTTGAATGTGCGGCGATATAACCCCGCAGCTACCTTTTAAATCTGCGAAAATACGAGGGCGAATCGCGACGGCAGAAGACTCGTTCCCACGGTGCATATAAAGTTACCGTCGCGGGGTTAATTATATTTGTAGAAGCTTTAGTTTCTCCGTGTCGTCGTGCTTTCATTATTTCTTATGAAATTTTTGCGACTTCGCCCGAGTTTAGCGAAGGCACGCGGTGAGAAAGGGAAGAGGTATATGGTAACTTTTCGGACGGAATTAGAAAGGATTGCCAGGTATTTAGGATCCGAGGACGAGCCATAACTTCGTTTCGTTTCGCTTCGCGCCGTACAAATTCCATCCGGGCGGTTCAACTTCCTGAGCGAAACGACGGATTTCCGTGGAAAATTCTTGAAATCGAAGTTTGCCGTCACAGCGACAAGAAATTCCTTCTATTTGCTCTATCGCCGTCGCTAATGCGCGATGTAGCTTTGCGTAATTTAAGCATAAAATATGTGCAAATCTCATGCAAATAATGTGCTGGGTTAGGTAATCGAACCGCGATAAGTAGGCTATGAAATAACATTATTAAATAATTAAATAAAACTCCTAAATTCTAAATAAATATATTAGTCTCTTAATACATTAAGATTTTATGTAAAACGTTTAATTTCCAAAATATAGACGTTTAAATGCAAAATTCGACCAAAGATTAGTTATATTTCCATTCTACTCTATTTTCTTCTTTCTGTGACAAGAGGGCACTGATACAACAATAACAGAAAAATTGAAATTTATCTGGTAAAAGCAGCGTGTACTGGAACTGTCGCTCAATATATGTACGTCGCTTCCGATACAATTTTGTAAAAACGTCGCAGATTGACGGACGGTATAGAAACTTGAGTGGAAGACGGAAAATCATGACCTCAGAGGATCAAGTCTCTTGGTTCAAAGCGAAATTTCCCGGGTAAAACGTGGGTAGATTCTAGGAATTCCAATCGTCAATCATAGACGATATTCCGGACTATCGCTAAAGGAAAGATAAATCGACTAAAGTGCTATCGCGAAGTCGGAGAAATTTACGGCCGCGTGTTACTTCCTACAAGTAATTGTTTGGATCCCTTTGGTTGTTGGCGCGCGGCGGATCCGTAAATTCACCCTTCATGGTAATCGATACCCTATCCGCCCCGATAAAAGGGACAATCAGCAGCGGGGTTTTATATCGCGGGGCAATTTAACTCCGGGCGCAAAAGAAAACAATTTGCGCGTGAATAAAAATAAGGTATACAAACATGTTAGATGTTATAAGAAGCTAATTTATCACATTTAAGCTTATCACTCTTTTTTATTTATCCTTTTAGAACAATTTGTAACTTTCTACTTGAGATTGCAGAAATTGCATCGATTTAGCAAGAAAACTCGAAATATATTTCTAGACAAATTTTAATTCAAATCGAAAATAGGAATATAAAATTAAACGCAAATTTGAAAATAAAGAACAAGACACAAAGTCAAACATTATTTCAATAATAAAAAATTACTGAACAAATTTAACTTAATTTATAAATTGAATAGTATACCTATATTAAATATCAATTTGTCAATAAATAATTTTACCTTGCATTTTATTTGATTTCATTTATATAAGAAACTTCAGGAAAGAATTAAACAATAAACTTGCAATATTTTTAATATCTGATACGTTATTTATTTTTAAATATAATCTTAATATAAAATTGATTCTCTCTTAAATTTAAAGTCGAGAGTAAATGTAGACGAGAAATTTAATATTGAAATGTTTTTCTATTTCTTTGTAGAGATAGAAATTTACTTTTATATGAAGTATCTTGTATATGAAGTATATAATACATATCATATATATATATATCTTCCAAGTTTTCTAAATTATGCTTTCTTTGATCAATTTTTTCTCAGCGAAGATATATTAAGTCATAATGACATCTTTCTCAGTTTTGTAATATTATCTATATATCTATAACTATATATATTTTTTAATATCATACTACAAAATAAAACTCTCTTAAATTACATCGCATTCAAACTTAAATAAGATAGCAAAAGTCTCATTACTAATTTGCACCCTTTGCAATCTTTTCGAAAGATTAAAAGTCTTGTCATTTTTCTTAAGCTGACCTCGGACTGCTCAGGGAACTCGTGGCTAAAATACCAACTAGTGATTTTCAGGCACGCCGCGAAGACGATTGCTCCTTTTTCCCGACCGCAAGAACGTCGTCGATTAGAGCCGAGGAAGAGACAGCAGCGCGATGTCGGGGATGCTTAGCGAATTTCAGATCCAGGTGGAATTCCGCGATCGGTTTGTCTAGAAAAACGCGGGGATTCTCCTTCTTCCAATCTACGGAGCTTCCGCGGCTAATTTGATCCCATTTCGCGCGATAGCTTAAGCGTGAACGACGATTCCCCGCGGGGGACGAGTTGGAAAACATAATCGATGTGCAACGGCGTCGTGTCGTCTCTTCTTCTCCCGACGAGAGATCGCAGATAGAAAGTGGACCTCCCGCGAGAGGCTCGATAGTGAACCTTGGATGGGGAACGAGGAGGAAAAGTAAACGCGTAGGAAACACGGGGAGAAACTAGGCTATCGCCAGATTAAATTCGATCGCCGCGGATTTGACGCAGGTCGAGGTCAAATCTTCCGCTCTGCGGATACTGTCCAGATTATACAATCTACAAATCGGGGCATCTCAACGCAGTAATTTAATTCTCAAAATATATAGGGATACTTTTTTGTGCGCGGTAATTGCATAGGTTAGATTAAATTTTAACAAAAAAAATATGAATAATTTTTGTAACTCTTCAACACTCTTAAACACAAAAGGATTCACAATCCTAATGTGTATCTTGTCGAATATCTCGAGATATATTCATTAGGGTGTAAAAATCGACTATAACGACGCCGACTGTCAAGACGTGGCAATCATTACAATGTTGCTTATTTCGCTAATTAGATATAATTATAAATTAGATAAATACATTGTGTTCCACAGGAAGAAGAGAGATGTGGAGAATCAACGAATTAAAGACGGCCGGTAGTCTACTGCGTCCGCGCTTTTGATAGTATTTCGTCGGCTTTTTTTCACGTTTGAGCGCTCAAAGCGAAGAGCTACAGCTTAATCTCCAGCGAGCGAGCATGAGATCTCAAACAGGTGTGAGGGGTGCAGATGGAAGGCTACTCTTTTTCCTGAACGGCAAAGAACGGATAAGGATAAACGGGGGAAATGCGATAATTGCATGGTAATTAAAAAATACGCTGAGAAAATACTAATTACACGAAAGCACGATCGTACCAACGCGTGAGTAAAGCGAGGAATAGAGAATATCAAAGGTAAAGAGAAAAAAAACGAGATTGTGGAAAAATACTCTGTCCCTCCCCTCCCTCCCTATGACGAAGGGTAAGCGAAGATAAAGACGAGGAAAACGTGATAATTGCGTGGTAATTAATAAATACATTAGAGAAGTACTGATTGCATGCAAATGATAATAACTATTAAACGCTTAAAACGATAATAAGCGCAAGATAAAAAGCTGAAAAGCAGAAAAAGCATGAAAAGAGGAAAGATATTTTCCCCACGATTTAAAAAAAAGGAACAAAAGTGAAGAATTAAATTTTCCCATAATTGCGCCGTAATTAATAAATTACGAGGCAAACGTAGACTAACGATATAAATTATCATATTGTACAGTATATCCGCGATTATCGACGATAATGGCAAAGTACAGTAGCAAAGGGCGGAGAACTGCGAGAATTAAAAGAACGTTACTTCTTTTCTACGGTCCAAAAAAAGGAAGCAAACGGAAGGATAAGTACAAAGAAAGTATAATAGCAATTAATAAACGTATTTAAGAGAGACTACCAATTGTGCCAGATGGAAAATGTGAATGCTGAAGTGCAGGGGAAGCAGCGTGCTATAAGGGCAGGAAAACAACACGATGGACAAATAAAAGTACGGAGATTATAAAACTGTCTGCATATGACCGCCGCGCCAACGGTGCATCATCCATTTGATATAGCTTTTGTCCAGGACCCGCGGGCTGCCATGCCGGTTGCTCGAGACAAAAAAAAAGAGAGAATGAGGAAGAATCTGCGCCCCGCAGCTTAATCGAGTCTCATCCCGACGCGACAGTTTGGACAGGCGTAAAGCGGATAAAGTAGATCGCGCATGTCGACGTTGGGGAAAACAAAGAAAAATTGATATAAATACGGGATACGGCTAGACCGCAAGATACGTGTGGGAATAAATAGGGAAAAGTGGGGTGTACAATTAAATGCGACGGCGAAAGATGAAACTCTCATCTCTCGTCAAAATTTTGCATTCATTCGTGATTTCCGTAAAATCAATTGACTCGTAAAATTTAA